ACCCCAGAGTCAGACATGACTGGACTTAATGTCAGGGGACTACCTTTACCTTTACCTAAACTCTGCAACATGGCCACTGTTCAGTCCCCACAGACGTCGGGCCAAAGTGGAGTTAGTTATCTTGGAAAACATTCCGAAGAAAACCTGTTAAAACAATTTCGGGAAGGAGCTGGCAGAACCACCTCTGATGCTACAATAATACTACGAAATTTAGGACAAGTTGGAGACGGAAGATGCATGCCCAAAACGTGCCCGTCTGGCCCCTTTGCCAACCTCGTTACGGGGCCTCGTCTTCCTCCACTTTCAGCCCCTTTTTTAAAGTATTTTTGGGGTCATCCGAGGGTGATACGAGCGAGAGGGGGCTGTCTACCAGAACTGCAGGTTTCCCATTTCTCCTTGGCACTCTCTCCATCCAAACCTTGGCAGCATGGCTCCCGCCTCCGTAAGCAAAGCAAAAGAGAGAGAGACGAGAAATGGGAAACAGCTCGGGAAGCGTCTGGGATTCATTACGGACTTTTGGCAAGAGTTTTTGGAGAGGGACGTCTGACACGCAGGCAGGCCCTGGTTTGGCCGGCTGACAACCGAATCCGGCAATTTTGCCGGAGGAGCAGACTGTGTTCGAAAGACTTGCGACACAGCACCCTACTTTAGCTTTGGGGCCTCTCTGGGTCTGTGTAACAAGGACCTTGTGGACGTGGCATTAATGCAACACAGATGGACACGTTTCACTCCCGTCTGCGGACGTAATTTGCAAAGTCAGTCTGAAACAAATCAGGATTAAATTCTTCCCTGGTTTAGATATCGAATGGGTGCTTAAGGTGAAAGTACCGAATTGATGTTTAAGGTGTAGGTACCGAATGGGCGCTTAAGGTGTAGATACCGAATGGGTGCTTAAGGTGTAGGTACCGAATGGGTGTTTAAAGTGTAGGTACCGAATGGGTGCTTAAGGTGTAGGTACCGAATGGGCGTTTAAGGTGTAGGTACCAAATGAGTGCATAAGGTGTAGGTACCGAAGGGGCGCTTAAAGTGTAGGTACCGAATCGGCGCTCAAGGTGTAGGTACCGAATCGGCGCTCAAGGTGTAGGTACCAAATCGGCGCTCAAGGTGTAGGTACCAAATGAGTGCATAAGGTGTAGGTACCGAATGGACGCTTAAGGTGTAGGTACCGAATGGGTGTTTAAGGTGTAGGTACCGAAGGGGCGCTTAAGGTGTAGGTATTGAATGGGCGCTTAAGGTGTAGGTACCGAATGGGCGCTTAAGGTGTAGGTAC